CAGCAGCAGCGTCCTTTAGCTCTGACATGAGTTCAGCTGAGTTATGCCTAGCATCTGTATGTATGCCCTATACAGGGCACTTATAGTCTCTTGGGGGGTACTTTCACACTTTGAAAAGCTGCAGGTAGCCAGGCAAAGAAGTTCATGCCTGTAATCTTAGCTACTTGGGAGTGTGAGATTGGGAGGATTATGGTTTGAGGCCAGCCCAGGCAAATAATTCACAGGTCCTCATCTGAAATAACCAAAGCAAAATGGACTGAAAGCGTGGCTCAAGCAGTGTAGCATCTGCTTTGCAAGTGTGAAGCCCTGAGTTCAAAGCCCAGTCCCATAAGAAAAAAGGCTGACTGTGGTGGCATATATCTGTAATCCCAGCAAGGTTGAGGAAGGGCAGGAGAATCATGAGTTTGAGGCCAGCCTGGGTTACATAGTGAGACCCTGTTTCAAAACAATACAGTACAAAACAAATAAAAACCTTACCCTTAAGTTACAAAAGAAGTGATTTGTATGTGTAACTTAAAAGAATTTTAATTCTTTGAATAAGTATTTTTTTTTATTGTTGTGCTGCATGGCGGTACACTAGCATTTACAAAAGTTCTTACAATGTATCAAATATATCATACTTAAATTCACCCTCTCCACCATTCTCCTTTATTCTCCCCTTCCACCATTCTTGAAATAATTTCAACAGGTACCATTTTTCCATTTTCATACATGTGTACACAGTAATTGGACTACATTCATCCTCCCACACCCTTTTCCACTTCTTCCTCCCCCGCACTGGTACCTGCCCCCCCTCCAAAGGCAGGACCTGTTCTGCCCTCCTGTTCTCTGATTATGTTATATTAATATATTGTTATAATTATAGTCCAAATTATAGTATTATAGTCTGAATTGGTTCTTCTCTGTTTTTCTTCTTTCTACTTTAGTTCCTTTTTTATGGTGGTTTCTACAGGTTTAAAACTTCTATATTCATTCTTGTATAGGAAGTACATCAACCATATTCACCTTCTTAACTTCCTCCTTTTACCCTTCCCTCTCTTCTTTGTGACCTCCCTTTAGTTGATATTGCTGTATTGAAAGCAATGGTTTTAAATACGGAAAAATGAATTCTGATGCTAACTTCATTATCACCATGTGTGCAATGAGTTGTTCAGTCTTTAATTACAACAGCATTTTATAGTATTTTATTTTTCTTTTTGAGGAACAGAGTTAACAGCACCTTAATTTTTTGAAACTTGCTAACACTTAAAGAGCAGGTGTCTTCAAACTAGCTAAAAGTTTAGTGGGCAATGCTTAAGTTCTGAGCAACTTGCAAAGTAAAGAAAAAAATCTTCACCATGCTTTGCTCTTGAATTTCTCTTACAATAGCCTGGACCATCTCCCTGGCTTACCACAGCCATGCAATGAAGTAAGACATGTGAACAGTATTCTTATGTATACTGCGACTCAATGATGAGTAGAACACTTTTTCCTCCCCAGCTTTCTCCCCCTCCCATCTCTCTCTCATATGGGGCCTTGCTATGTTGCCCATGCTAGCCTAGAACTCAGGATCCTTCTGCCTCAGCCTTCTAAGTAGCTGGAATTAGGGGCATACTCCACACTCTCTTATTCCAATCATTTAAAAAAAGACATTTGTGTCATCAAGATCAAGGTGAGCATTCTTATTGCAATGTAGTGGAAAGAACAAGGATCAGTTGGCAAACCTGAGTTCGGATCTTGCATCTGTTATGTATGCATGTGTTGTGTGAATGATTCTTGTCAAGTCATTTAATCCTGGGCCTCAGCTCCCTTATCAATAAATTGGAGTTCATATTTACTTGCTATAAAGGAGCTTGAGTGAGTTGAGAAATCTAAAGAATATCGTGAAATGGTAAAGGTAAGGTAAGCTTTGAGAAACAAAAAGTGAAAAGGCAAGTGTGTTTGTTCCCTGGTTTTAGCAATAAGAAGAAATTTTCTGGTCCTCACCAGAGAGATGTACTGAATAAAAACTGAATTTCTGACACTCTAATTTACTAATGTATTTGTGAACAACATGGAAACTTTCTGAAGATCCTGGGGCTCAAAGGTATATTCTTACCCTCCATCCCTTAGCTCCTTCCAATACAGTTTGTTTTCCCAGCACCTGGGAACAAACAAATGACTTTGGTCTCTTTTCTTTGAACACTATGGAGCATGATTTTAAATCCCAGAACAATTGCTATTTCCTATTCTAGAATATTTCTGGAGAAAATCCGATCAAACAGAGAGTAATGGCAGGAGGATAGGGTAGAGGTAGTGTTAAAAAATGTAGAAATTTTGTGAAGAACTTGTATTTTAAAAGCTCTTTCGGGCAGTTAATGACTTTGTATCAATAAATTGCCATGATTAAAGAGTATGTTTTCATCCTTAGGAATGACATTTCTATTCAGTGTTATTGAACTTGAGGACTTATTAAGTTAAGCTTCTTATATCAAGGCTGCTGAGCATCATTGTTGGCATTTAAAGTGAAGGTGATGGAAGGTGGTCAGGCAAGGTAGTTCTGGGCTTTAATGTAAAATCTAAAATTCTGATATTTAGAGAAAAAATGTGTTAGTTTAAATAGTGAATGTATAATCCACCCCCAAAGTTCTTCAAAATGAATACATTCTGGCAAAGTGCTGAAATTGGCCATTATATACCCCTAAATAGTGTCCAGTCATTTTGAAATCTGACAAAAGAAAAGGTTCAGTGAGTCAGGTACAGAAATTGCAACTCAATCGGGAGCTTCTTTAGATACTGGACAAACGGCTTCAAGTTTTAGGAAAACACTCAGAACTTACTATTCTTCCTCTGCAAGAGTTGTATTTGAATCCCTGCATGTAGGTTGCATTCTCTTATAAGTAGATATAATATAGACCAACTGTGTTGGAAAGCACCAGGCTTCATTTTCTCTCTCTCAGAAATATCAGTAAGTTGCTTAAATGAAAAATATGCCTGAAATCACAATAGGAAATGTTAAACACATTTGAAAAAGTATAACTTTATTACATTTAGACTTCATCCATAATTTCATGTGGTAAGGAAAGAAATATAACCAGGATAATAGGATGTATTTGAAGAAGATTTGCTCAGTCATGACTCAACCAGATTTTGTTGTTTTACAGGAATAAATACAGTTCTTCTGTTGTGAAGACATTGCCTAAAAGAATGAAAAATCTGAAGTGTCTCAGCAACAACTGCTGACAATTTCAGATTCTAAGTCCTGAAGCAAACAGTGCATTGTCCAGAGTTATAATTTGTTGAGCTTCGTTTATGCATTAGGGAATTTATATTTAGAGAGATGTGGTATCATTATAGCGGAAGGGAGCACAGGGTGAGTTGTAAATGGATTTTAGAAATTTGAATGACTGGAATTGTGTTACTAAACAATGTACTTTTTATTGTTGTCCCAATATCTCTTTGGCTTTTGTCATCACAGACATTGTTGGCAATGAGGAATGGTTTCATGAATTCATGCCACAGAGAGCTTTTTTTTTTTTTGCTTATTTTAGCCTTCAGCTAGACTAAATCCCTATGACAGTGAAGAGATGGTGTTACAAATATGTACATGACTTTATACAAATCCAGTGATGGTACTGAAGATGTTGACTATTAGTGAATTGTCACTTAGAAATTGCTCTAAGAATGGAAAATTTGGGGGAATAATTAGTGACAGTATATTGATCTTTTTGCAGCTTGGAGATGCATTTTATATATTGTAAAATTCCCCCTGATCATTTTATATAAAAGGAAAATATTAACAGGTATTAACTATAAACCACTCTCCCTGTTACAAGGTAAACCATAATAACATTTTTAATAATACTTTCAGTAATAAAATAAATAATCTTTTCAACTTAGTAAGATGGTTTTTAATCCTCTAAGTGTGTAACCAAGACTCAAATGGACCAGGAGGAATGCTGTGATTTTGTGTTGGAGAAAGACACATGTGTTAACATGGGATAAACACATGCTTAATCATGCTGGACAGTTGTCACTGTTGTGAAATACCAGAAAACTGCACAGTGCAGTAAGCAGTAACAGAATGAAAAGGATTGCTAGGAATACATCTTTTGGGTCATAAGTAGAAAAGAACTTAAGAATCATCCTCATTTTATGACACATCTTTTTTTTTTCCACTTAGAGCTGATTTATTTACACTTGTCTTTTCTATGAAATACAGCATATGTTAAGAAAAGGTTGTGAAACCTAATAACCAGCACAATAAGTAGTATAAAGCCAATACCTATGTACAGTTACTTAGGTCTGGAAATAGCTCACTGCCATCTTCCCTAGTGTGCTCTGTATTTTTCTTCCTAATTGCAACCCTTTCCTACCTCAGTCCTCCAACCATAATGTTTATGTTCATCATTTCCAAGCACACACCTGCTATGATGTATATATTCAATTTTTTTTGGATCATCTAATTTGGAGCTGCTTTACGAACCCACTAGTGGTTATGCCTGAATATGCCTATGTGCACACTCACACACATCTTCCCACACACCAGCAAGTAAGAAACTCATTACTTTAAAACAAATTAGTTTTACCAGTTTGACTCAAGTCTTTGGGTATTTTCAAAGGTAAAATAAACATCCCAAAGTGAAAGATTTGCTAACACTGAAAATATACCTAAGAATTTGATAGACTGAAGACCTGCTAAAAGGGGACCTGAAACAAGTAGGGAAATGCATCCTTCCTAGAGTGAGAGCTGCAGGGTTTACAGAAAAAGCAGTTCACACCCTGGAGTTGGCTGACATGAGTTCTAATCCATTTGTGCCACAGACTAGTTGTGTTATCATTTCTCTGAGCTTTAGTTTCCTCCTATGCAAAGAGAAGATTATGTCATCTATAAAGATTCAAAGTAATGAGTACACGATGGTTATTCATACCAGAGATGCATTTTGGTCATGGGTCAGTGACATTAATCTGTCCGATGGGATTGGCAGTGTGATGCCCTCCTACCTTTCTTGCTGTTTACTTTACTTTTGTATTTCCTGCAGGAACGATTCCAGGTGAAGAATCCTCCCCATACATACATCCAGAAGCTCAAAGGCTATCTGGATCCAGCTGTAACTAGGAAGGTAAGGTGGATTTGTTTCCACTCTTTTGTTGTTGCTTCCTCCTTAGTGGACAGAATCCTCCTGCATTGGGAGACTTTCTTTCCTTTGCATTAGTCACTGCCAGAGCTCCAGGAAAACAACCTTTGGAGACCAACAACACGAGAAGACAAAGAACAGAAAACATCGTCCACACTTAAAGATGTGTTTCAAAGTATTTTCCTGGATGGGAGTCATGTACTTCTGAAGGTTACTGATTCACTGGTATTTCCAATTAAACAAGGCAGTGAATCCAGTCCAGAGGTGTTTAGGCCCCAAGCAAAGCAGACCTTGCAAAGGGAATACTTGTCTTTCATGCCTTGGTGCATTTCCAGAGGCCTTGAAATATCACTGGGGCTTTTTCAGCCCAGCTGTGCACTTATGTCCTGTGTTGTTCCTTCTAGCAGCTTCCCTGGCCCCCTCCCCTGCCCTTAGCTCCAAGAAAGTAAGGAGAGAATAGCTGATTCCATTCTCAATGGACTCTCCTTTTACAAACAAACCCTGCTTTGTGCAGTCACACAATTGGTTTAAGCTGATGCCTTGTTGTAAGGCATGTAGCCTGGCACAGCTCTGCAGGCCTGGCTCAGTCCTGGGATGTCTCAGTGCAGTGCTGTCCTTGCTCAGGATGAGTGAAGGGGCTCTTTACCAGATAGCACTTGTTTTTCCCTTGACCTTCCACAACTCCCTCTTTGAAGGCTCAAGAAAAAATATCTCAAGCTGAATTCCTTGTGTTGTTTGAGTGTGTGATTCATGAGAAAAGAAAGGCACACTCTTCTTGGTGAGCCATTCTTTCCAGGCCTCTTGACTCTTGTTTTAAATTTCTTTTCTCCCTTTTCATCATCATCTACTCTAGCCCTTCCTTATCCATACCCCCAAAAGAGTCAAGCACAGGAAAACAGCTATTATTTCCTTTTAGAAGCTTCCTGGCTGGACTTTTGTCCTATGGCTAACATGCAGTGAAGGGGAATTATATCTACAAGTGATGAACATGGAGTACAACTATTCACTGTTGGCTTCATGCCATAGAAGTCTCAAATGTGACATAGCTTGTTTTCTATGGATGTCCCTACCACCTCCAGGCTGGATGGCTTGGACTCTAGCACCAGGTCTGAGCTGAGTGGGATTTGGAAATGTCTGCTTTAGTACATGAGACTGATATCTCCCTTCACACAGACTCCATTCCATTCCATAGCCATTCTTTCCACATTTTTCACATTGTGCAATGAAATCAGAAAATATACAAACTCCCAGAGAGTGCTACCTCGTCTCCCTGCCTGAAGCCCATGAAGGAGTTGGTGCTGAAGGGACTGAGGCAGATTTCTAGTCTTGGGTCTCTTTCAGGTCATTTACTTCTGGGTCAAGACAAAGAACGAAACAAAAACTGTCAATGTGCTTCTTAGAAAGTGTTTTGCCCTTAGAAATAAACTTCATAAAGAGGAGCAGACTGCGAAGTGGCTGTTTTGACCTTTATTCCTGACATCTCTACTCTGAACCATGCATTGTGTCTAGTTGGCCTTGTTTGATCTGTGTCTTATCTTTCACAATCAGTCATTCAGATCACAAAAGATAAACTGGATGCTGGACTAACCACCTCTGTTCTAGGAAGATTTCTGTCAGGAACTGGCAGTAGGAAAGGATCTGCTCCATACAATATCATTGTAATTTTTAAATTCCAGAAAAAAAGATGATTTGTTTTGAATAAGGCATGACTTGCAGTTAAAATGAGCTTAAAATTCTCAGCTGTAGTATGGTGTGCAGTGAGGCAGGGAGGTGATTTCAAACTGGGGCTCTACATTTTAGCCAGTCTAGGCTGGGCAGTCTTCCTTTAACTGTGGCTGCCATCCTTAAATACTTCATTCATTAATCTTTGTTCAAATTGAACATTTGCTTTTTTTTTTTTTAATTCTTAGGCATATTCTGTATAGGTTTTCTTCTAAGTACTTTTAAATGAAACCCTCTAGGGCAAGGAAGGAAGAGCCTAAATTAGATAGCTCTGAGATCAGAACTCTCCAAACCAGCCTCATCATTTAATACCAGGAGATTATTAGCCTGTGCTTTGGAGGAGAGTGTTTTTATGTCTGCATGGAAAAAGGCCACACAGACCATGAAGAAAGGAGTCTGGTCCTTTGCTGGCATTGCCATTATCAAAAGAAACCTCTTGTATGGCTCACAGGGCTCAGCTGCTTTTCTGGCTCATCCCTGGGCCCCCTCCATCAGGGAGGGCAGGGAAAAGGTATGGACTCCTAGTGGATCCTCCCTGGCTCCTCCTTGCTGGTCCCCACAGGATTTCTCTTTGAAGTGTTTTAAAACATTCTGGGTGCATTTTAGAAGTACAGATGTTAGCACTTGTTTTTGTGTTAAGAAAAGTAGATGCCAAGGCTTCTCTGCAGTCTAGATTCTAGATGACAATTGAACTGTTCCCAAGAGAATGTAATACAGGGGCAAAGTTGGTTTAGTTTGCCTCAGTTGTCAAGCACCTGCAAAAGTATAATGCCCGATATAGGCAGTGTGTAATGCATGGTACTGCTGCTGTTGTTACTATTAGCTCAGTGTTTTGATTTAGCTGCCTTGTTAAGATATATCTGTATCTACCTATCATCTATTCACCCATTTACCTACCTATCTTTATCTTAGCGATTTATTTGATCTTCTTTTATACCCTATTATGTTCCCAGTATGATGCTGTTTACCTTGTGTGTGACGATATATGCTTCCCTGAGGAAGCACAAGGCAGAGCTAGGGGCCATCAAAGGCTGTACTGAGCCACTCACAAGTATCCCTCATATGCAACTTGGAATGCTGAGTTACTTTCTAAAAGCCACCTGTGCAGACAGCCTGAGATTAGGGCTCGGACATGGGAATAGCTGCTGTGGAGCAGCCAGCACACCTGGAAACAGCTGCCTCAGCTGTGTGATCAGAATTCATTCTTTCCATTTAGTTAGTGCAGCATTGGATGTTTTGTCTCCTTTTTCTTCCTTTCTGTATCCAAGCCATAGAATTGCCTGCCCATGACTCTTTTCTACTTCATTCCTGATTTTTAATCTGCAAAACAAGACTTTAAAGAATAGGAGAACCTATTAGCCAACCCTCCTGCCCTACTCCCCTTTAATGCCAAGTACTGGGCTCAGCATTGTCATTTCTGGAAAGGGATTCAGGAAGCTCTGGGCTTGGCTGTTACTACAAACTACCCATGACCCTGCTGTTTTTTAGCCTCCCCACCTTCTTTTTTTGACAGAACAGGGGAGCACCTCTTTTTATTACCTATGTTCCACTTTATCTGGATTCTAAAAACCTGGGAAGATTGTTTTAGGTGCTTTGGAATTGGCAGTTGTGGAGAAGCTGTGAGAATGCAAAAAGCTTTCAGAAGAGATGAGGGGACAAGAACCTTCCTGTACTGAGGAGTGGTCCAGGTCTTCATTCAGCCAGGGGGTCCATGCATGTGGCACGATTCATGCAACCTTGAATTCTAGAATCCTCATTTCCAGCCTTCTTGACCTGGGACATCTTTTTCTGAAGCCATAAGAGCCATTATCTGCATCTTGGAGCTAGATTACTTTGTTCTCATTGTAGTTGGTGACAGTGGAGGAGAAAGGTCCTTCACATCCTGAGTTAGAATTTGCAAGGCTTTACCCCCTAGACACAGTGTAACAAGAGTGCCTGGGGTCGTAGCACAGATAGCCTGGACTTCTTAGAAGGCATTGCATATCAAATTTTCTTCTTCCAGAGTGCCCAAGACTATACTATGAAAAATGTTTCTGTAGAAAAATGTGTTTTAGAGAACTAATGTTCAGTGCAATCCACTGTATCTTGGAGTCAAGAGGATAAAGAGATAACGTACATTTACTCTCAGAGAAGGATTCCTTGAAGAAAGAAGCCCTGGGGGAGTCTTAAAGGACAAGAGAGATCTTGATTGGTGATAGAATAAAGAAGAGTGTTCTGTCTGCGTATGTGTGCATATGCACACACAGCTAGAGGAGTGACCTTCCAAGGGAAGACTAATTGGCAGAACTCTGTTTGTTCTGGGGACATGTTAGGTGGAACAGAAAAGAATCAACATAGCAGGCTGGAAGCTTTTCCCTTGCATAGCATTTGTAATTCCCTAATTCACTATGTCTAACTGTTTATGAAAACATGGGTTATGTTGAATACCTCTTTTCCTATAGAATACCTATTTTCCTGTAGCAGTCTGGAATTTTGGCATGAGTGAGGCAGAGCATGTCTGTGAGTCCAGCCCCCAGTGAAGTCCCTGTACTCTGTCTAAAGAACTTCATTCATGTTGTCATGTGATTCCTCAGAGAAAAGGACTCTAGTAAGCTTGCACCTGTTTTCCTGTGCGCTTCGTTCCTTGTGTCTTTTCTCTTTGTCCCTCTAGCTTGTACTCTTTTGCTGTGATACTTCATAGCCACCAGTCTGACTATATCCTGAGGCTCCATGAGTCCTCATAGTAAGTCCTTGAAAGTGGGGTGTTTTGGGGTCCCTAACCCAAAGATATATTAGTGAATATTATTCTATGTGTGGGAAAGGGAAAATAATCTCCTTAAAGACACTATATGAAATAAGTAACTTTCTACTACTTTCTCATAAGCTACATTTTATGATAAGGACTTGTGTGTTTTGCAAAAAAAAAAGAGAGGCTCACTTCTGAAATAAATCATATGGCATTGACTTTATTATAAGTAAGCTCCAGTTAAAGCAAGTGCTAAAGTATATTTTGTTAAATTATAGAAATTCAGGAGGCGTGTTCAAGAATCTACACAAGTGTTAAGAGAACTGGAAATTTCTTTAAGGACCAACCACATCGGGTAAGTATGCCCCATGAATATCTCAGCTCTTAATGCTAAGAAACTCAGTTCCATGGAGTTTCTGGCCAGAAAGGGATGGAAACAGGAGTGATACCACATGATCTGCTTCATTGCAAGCAGACTCGGTCTGACTCTCTCTTTCATACATGTCAAAGTCTCAGGACCATGAAGTGTAAATCCACTCAGAAAATAACATTCATGGAGTCTGCACAGAGCACTGCTGAGAGTTTCTTTCATGCAACACAGGTTTCTGTGCCTTAGGCCAGTACAACTTCATTACAGTCTCCCTTACTGCTGGGATGGTATAACCTACAGTACCTTAAAATAACATGATTTATCTCCAATGCAGAATGATGCCATTTATTGTATTCTGTAGCCTTAGTTTTGTCCAAAGTATGTATTTAACATTGGACAAGTTACTTGACTCCTCTGGGTTTTGACTTTTTGGGTTAACGATGAGAGAGCACTACGTACTTTTACATCTTTTAGAATTTTCCCATGACATTTTTTGCAGGTCTATGGAATTATATATGCATATTACACTATTATTGTAGTATATTCTATAAAATAGATATATTACATAAATATCAGTTTATCTCTGTTAGACTATGAGAGATAGCACCATTCAAATGGTTAATTAGCACAGTTATTTTAGAATAAGCTTTTTTAAATCGTAGAAATGATAGTGTGATTTACAGGTGAGAGACCTTGGGTGAGAATGTTATTTCCTAAAGGATAATGTGGTAGGTTTGTCACCTTAAGAACAAATGATGTGATTCTACCTTTTGTCCCCAAAAGTGGGCTATAGGAAAATGAATCATAGAATCATGATTATAGATCTAGAATTAAATTAAGGATTTCCTCATCCCTCGTTTTACAGATGAGAAAAGTTAAAGTCTATAGCTGTACGGCCAGGTGCTTTGTCTCAAAACTGCTGTTTTCTGAATTGCTTATGTTGGCAGCTCTTTTTCTGAAAGGAATTAAGATAATCAGGGCTCTGGGATCAAAGCAGTGAGGTCTGTCTATTGAGGGTGACAGTGGTTGTAGTTTATTACAGTTGGGCATCCAAACTTGGGAAATTGAAATACTTTCCGATATTTATGGATCAGGAACTTGATTCTGCTTGATATGGCCCAAACCTATGCCCTGGCACTTCTTGACTGAAAATGGTGGAATGAGTTACAGCCCAGATTGCTACAAATTGTCAAAAAGCATTTCATCAAGCATTGCTGAAATAATGTGAAATTGACCATCAACTACCAAAGCAAGACAATCATTTCCAATACAAAGTTGGCTGAATAGGCTGGGTAGGAGCCAGTGAATCTGCAAGCAATTGAAGTGATTTGTTGCTTAGGATTCTATAGGCATGCTGACAGGTTCTTACTTCTTTTATCTTCAACAGCTGAAAGTTTCCCTTGCCAACCACCTAGGTGAGACACTCTGAAAACTCTGACTTTAGCTGAAGAAAAATTCATGGAGATGTTTTGTCTGGTTGTATTCAACCAAGTACTGGCATAAACTTACATGCACTGATACCACAAAATAAGATTTTTACCTGTACCCCAAAAATGAAAATCTGAACTGGACTCCTCATTATGTCAACTAACTGGTTTGACCTTATTTGGGAAATTTTCGGAAAAATTACTTAATGGTGAAAAGAATCAGTTACTATCATGAGGAAATCTTCAATGCTATATAGATCCATAGGTTTTATTGTCCTCTTAATAAGATAATAAAAAGACAGTTGGGTGTCCATTTGTCTTCTGGAAAGAGACCTTGATTCAAACTTTTCCCATGCCCCTTTTAGTTTTTTGACTTACGTAAATTACATCAGTTCTATGCACTAATGATGTGACCTAAGTTAACTACTCATCTATAAAATGATAGTAAAAATATTTAACACAGAGGAAAGTTGTGAAGATTAAATGAGAGGACTTATAAAAGGCTTATTGTAGGATCTGATAATAGTATTCAATATATGATAGCTATGGTTTATTGTTATGCTTATTGCAAATAATATCTGATAATATTCAGCAACAGTATATAATATATCCAGGAATTCCATGTATAGAGTGTTAATTTTCTCTACCTAAAGTAACTGCAACACCTAGGAGATTGTGAAGACTGTGACTTCTGGAAATGAAAAAGAGCAATTACATTTCAAATCTATTTGCCCTGAAAAAATTATTCTTGGCACATACTTGCATTTCAAGGTTAAAGTCTTGAGCTTTGCTGAGATAACATTTAAGCTGCAGCTTTGTCAAGCAAAGGGTCTGTTCTGAGTTTGATATAAGCTTAAAATTCTATAAATCAATCTTCTGAGAATGAAAATTAATTTTCTTTGAGCCAAATTGAAATAAGACGGGTTAGGAATAATCCCACTCATTCACTGTTAGGAACTATGGCAATGGAGAAGAATGGGATTATGACTTATCTCAGCCCTGAAATGACTTGAAATACCCTTGAATGAATCAAGTGCCATTAGAAGATCAGTGAGGCCTGGTGGTTCATGTCTGTAAACCCAGTTACCCAGTAGGCTGGTATCAGGGGAGTGGCAGTTCAAGGCCAGCCCAGGCAAAAGTTGGCAAGACCCCTTTTCAACCAAGAAGCCAGTGCCGTGGTTCCAGCTACATGAGAGGTATAAGTAGGAGGATCAAGTTCTGAGGCCAGCCCTAGGCAAAAACTCAAGACCCTATCTGAAAAATAACTAAAAGCAAAAAGGGCTGGGAGTGTGGCTCAAGTGGTAGAGCACCTGCCTAGCAAGGATGAGGCCTTAAGTTCAAATCCCAGTACCACTAAAAAAAGAAAGAAAGAAAAAAAAGCCTGTTACTTACATCAATAGTTGTCAAAATTCTGGGTGCCAGGACTCCCATACATTCTTTAATTATTTTGAACCCCAATAAGTTTTTCTTGACATGAGTCTAATTATAGTATTTTAACATTAAAAAGTAAAATTGATCAATTTTAGATGTATTGCATGCAATTTAATATCTAAATATATAAATTTAAAATAAATGTATTAACATTTATTATGTATTATATTTATTTATGTATTAATAATGTATTAATATATGTAACATACTTCATGGAATATAACTATTTTCCAAAATCAAAAAAAATAGTGTCAAAAGTAGATTTTAAAAAACATTTTTGTAAATCTTTTAATTATTTGGATAATAGAAGGTACCTGGAATCTTTTGAATCTACATTCAGTTTCTTGTGATATAAATTTAAAGAAAACTTGACTTTTTACATATACTTACTTGGACTGAGGAGTTTTTAAATAGTTTTTTTGGGTTGTGGATATTCTTTTTTTTTTTTTTTTTGATGGTATGCCAACATTTAACAAGAAGTCACATTAATGAAGGTTTTTTGCTCTATAATATTAAAATGTGTTTGCGTGGTCTTGCAACTTGAATGGCTCTTTTTATCCACAGATCTTGTAACATGATTTCCTAACCTAGTGCAGTGCTCACTTGGAAAACATTGTTTCACTCAGTTATTATTCTGGAAAACATTGTTTCACTCAGTTATTATTCTGTTCTTTCAGTTGTTGAAACATCTTATTCTATAATTTTTAAAAAAAATTATGTTTGTTAATAACTTTTAGTCTCAGAATATACTTTTAAATGTTGGGAAGCTATCAAATTGGTTGTGAAGACAGGTTTTCTAAAATTCTTATTTCTGCTTCAAAGTTCAAATTTTGTCATTGATGATAAATACTGCCTGTTTTGCCCCAAATGACAGGCTCACTTCATTTTTGAGGAAATGTTTTTCAGATACCTGTAAGTCTGTCACTGTAGTTCATAGGTTATTTTTACAAGTAAATTGGCATTCTAAGAAAAAGGCTAGTTCAGCTTGCCACTCAAACAAGTGCTTTTCCTTGAAACAACTGTGATGCCCAGATTTGCAACCCATGTGTTTTATGTGACCTTCCTGTTTTGTCATACAAAACATCAAAAAGATGTGTATTCAAGGACCGAGTTTTAATAAAATCAGTCATTTTTATTGTTTTACTTAAGTGAGGCTGGCTATTTCCCCCCCTTTCCTGATTGCATGATGTGAAGAATACAACAAATTCATAATTTTTTGGTGACAGCACATTTATCTGCTATTTCTTTTTTAACACCCAGAATGTCAACAGAGTAAAAACAGCTAGCGTCTTATATATACACACATGCACATGCACACACACACACACACACACACACACTTTTTGTGTGTGTGTGACTGGGGTTTGAACTCAGGGCTTCACACTTGCAAAACCAGCACTATACTGCTTGAGCCATACCTCTAGTCCATTTTTAACTCTGGTTATTTTAACTCTCAAATGATTTGCTTGGGCTGGCCTCAAACCACGATGTTCCTGATTTCAGCTTCCCAAGTAAGTAGGATTACAGGCGTGAGCCACTGGCGCCTGGCTGTCTTAATATTTTTTAAGAAGCCAGTGTTAACACTCACAGATGCCCTGAGAGGATTTCAGGGACCCCTAGTGATAAGTGGGGTACACTTTGAGTACCAGTTTGCAATACTTCCCAGCAATAGATTTGGTGATCGAAGTCAAATTTGACTCATGCTTTTCTTTCTCTTATTTTCTATTTTTTTTCTGCAGTTGTCTGTATACCTCTCTAAAGAAGAAAGGCAGAGGGAAGTCATCATTTGTTCTTTTTCCTTGTGTATATCCTAGTCACTTTGTCTGATCTTGGAAATAAACCAAAGAGGGTCCCTGAATACTTAATTTCCCGTATGAGAATAGCAAGGTTCTGATATTTGAGGAGGTGGGGTGAACAAAACTTAGAAACAAAGCTTTGAGAACCTGCAGTAAAAGCAGTGACTATTATGTCATTATGTCCCTTCTTTGGATACAGTTTTTCTGGCACTATTTTCATTATCCCTGTCTCTTTTAAATATCGGACTTGGAATTTGCCTAAATTCAAATTTGCAACATATGGTAATTGCATTTGAATCTGTGAGACCCTTGGGAAGTAATGCGTGCTGTCAGAGTCAGAAATAATTCTGCTTTCCAAACCTATAATCACCCAATTTGAAACTGTTTGCCATTGGCAACATACTAAAAAAAAAAGTCTTGTGTAGCATGCGCAGGAGAGGAAAATGGAAATAATTTATTCCAGAACCCCTAAATACACAGTAGTCCTTACATGGTCAAATACATCACTCTGCAAAATGAGGCATCACACTTTTTAACGCTTTTAGATTCAAGATACTGCCTTCTTTCATTTTACCTATTTTCTTTCTTTGTCTTCCATCTTCATGGAAGTTTGTTGTCAATTCTTTTTTCTTCTATGCAGAATATCCAAACAGGTAAGGGATAGGGATCAAGAGGACAGGAAAAGAGTAAGGGCTGACTTCTTTTTTTTTTTATAATCCTTATTTTTCTTATAAAATCTTTATTGCTGAAATGACTTTGCACATTGTTATCATTGACAAAGGGGGCAAGGTAGTAATAATAAGGTAGTAATAATAAGGTAGACATAAATCCTGAATGATTTATGTCTCGTTGCTTCCTAAGTCACCTACCTAGGGGTGACACCTAGGGGTGTCAAGGCCACAGCAAAGACCCAGGAAACATTTTGTAGTTTGGAGAAAAAAGTTCACTGCCTGAAATTAAACCAGAGGCAGAACCTGTTATGTATATCCTTTCGGGCTTTTTCTGACATAGGCAGCAGACTCTCGACTTTGACGTTGTAAATTGTCTTTAAGGCATTTTCAGAGTCAGGAAATGGAGATGGACCATTGGTGAGGATGTTTAAACCAAGTGAAAGAAACCAATTAAAATTTATTCCTACATTAAAGTATATGCATATGAGCATGCTGAGTCAAGAGATTTGTAGCTCTAGCTGTTCTCAGCTGTTCCCTACTTTTTTTGGTTGTTTACTTTTTCATGTCTTGGTCTCCTGTGCAGTTTGGGGCTGCACTTCCCAAGTGAGATGGAGGTGCTAGTGGCTGAGTCAGTGGCGGGGACCTAGGGTGTCCTGGAGGATCTAGACTCTTTAGAGCCAGTGGCTTTTTTCATCTCCTTAATTAGTGGGCAGCTGAAAAAGAATATGTGAAACCTAGACTGTCCTAAAAACTCTGGCCCTCTGTGGTTATTTTCATGTTCAAAAGACACCCACCTCCAAGGGCCAGTCTGTATTGTGCAACCAAAGCCCACTGGCCAGACCATTGGAAAAGGCAAGGGAGGAGCCTGAGGCCCTAGATTTAAGGACCAGTAATCATCCAGTCTTGATAGTGAGTTCCCGTCTCTCTTAAGTCTGCCAGTTACAGGCTTTTTTTCCTATTTCTAAGCTTCTGATTATCAGCGTTTAAAAATGTTCAATGTCTCCTGAGACTTAGCAGCATAGGGAGTAATTACGTATGTAGAGGTGGATGTCGTGAGATCGTATATGTGGCTGTCTTGGGAACTTTAACATTGACCTGCAGTTAGTTGTGATCAGGTCTCGCAACAAAACTACTTTGTGAGAATGGATGGCATTTTCTTTGCAAGTGTTGCTACTCTAGGTTCCTCTTAAATGTTATGTGCTTACAGCTGTGTAAAGGGCATAGTTTTTATGGTAGCCTGTCTGAGGCACTTTGGGGGGAAATATAAGTCAAATTGTCTAATTCCCAAACTTGCTGTCTCCTTCAAGGACCTGTAGACCTCAGTTTACATCATGGAGATGACAGGACTATAGAGAAAGGTACTTGAAGATAAGATGGACATCAAATGAAACATACACACACACACACCCACACCCACATCCACACACACACCCCCTACCCCAATCCCTAAATTAAAAAAAAAAAGGCATCCTGAGTCCACAACATTTATTTTTTTCTTCCTTGAGGGCAAAGATCTCAAGAGGCTGCTTATCCTTAAGGACACATAGTAGGATTGTCCTGCTGTCTTTTTAACAGTTATCAAGTTTGGCTTCCATAGTAGTGGTCATATCCATAATTGGGCAGCCTTGCTGGCATGGTTTTCATGGAAAAAGCTATTGCTTTGGAATGTAAGTGGCAGATGTCCCTTCTAGTGCAATTTCAGTGACATTCACTGATTTTTTCACTTGCTAATTATTGGAGTTTCACTCTGAGGAGGAAATCTGTAAAATGGGTGATGGGTCTTTATCCTCAGTTCCTAAAGATACTGTTTGACCACTCTATCAGAGTTATTCTGAAGAGCAAATGAAAATTGATAGACATTCTCAGGGAAATGGTAAGTACCATTCAAATGCAAGGTAGCATGATTTAAAAATGAATCTTTAAAAATTGTCACGTGTGGTCCTGGGTGATGGTCTGTCATACCTTCAGCCTTTTAAAAGGTTTTCACATTCATGGAAAAAATTAAGCAAATCATTATCCCTATTGAATTTCCAGAAGCCCATTAACACTGGCCTCTCATTGGCTGGTTTAGTGGTTTCTTTCTTCAGCTTAGAGTGCCAAGAAGGAGTTGAGCGTGGATTTGGAGTCATGCCTGGATTTCAGTGGCTGTGGCGTCAGGTCCCCAGTCTGCTGCGTTCTCTGTGCAGTCTTGGCTCCTTCAACAAGCAGGCTCTGGATCAGTTGTGCTGGAAAAAGTACATTTAGAAAGTTCCTTTTTTAGAAACTTTTTTATAGGCTATCTTCAGTCTCCAAAGGAATACCATGCAAGAATGGGATGTGTATACTTCTTGCTCCTTACTCTTCTTGCACAGGGAAATGTTATGGTTTTCTACCCTGGGGTGAAGTCCCTACCTCATGTGAAAGAGGCTAAGTTTTCCTGTGTATTTACTTTCAGACCTTAAATGTTTCTGGTGGAAAAACAAAAATTCCCATGGGGTCCTTTCCATGTGATCAATCTCTCCACTGATTTTTCTTTTCCCCTCACCAGATGGGTCAGAGAATTTTTGAATGAAGAGAACAAAGGCCTTGATGTTCTAGTGGAGTATCTGTCATTTGCGCAGTACGCAGTAACGTAAGTAAAGCCTGGCTTGCTTGCATTTGCATTTCATGAGGTCACAAAAGATGCAGCTCAGTGGTAAAATTATATACCATACTGAAGGCAGAAACCCAGAAGCTGATGTGGGAGGGTCTAAGGAGATTTGTTTATGTTTTTGTAACTAAAAACAAATCCCATAATTGATATTAGAAATGTTTTTAAGGCAGAAATAAAACAGGTGAGTAAAACTCACCCTTTGTGGGGGAAATCACCCTTGGAAGAACCTGTATTTATAAAGTACTTTCTTTTTTTATTTTTATTTTTTGTGGTACCTGGGATTAAACTAAGGACCTTGAACATGTTAGGCAAGTGCTTTAACACAGAGCTATATCCTGAACCCCCCAAAAGTGCTTTCTTGGTGGTTTAACTTACACGGATCTGTATGGTAGACCACTAGCAGTTCCTAAGAGAGGTATATGGTATATGGTTGAGTGACTAAAGCAAGATGCAGAATAGTGAATGGCTTTAATTTTTTAAAATTTTGAGGTGCTGGGGAATTGAATCAGGGCCTTGCACGTGCTAAGCATATATTCTTAGCATTGATCTACACTCCCAACTCCGGCTTTTAATTTTAAAAATGATATGGCTGAGTTGTAGGTCAATGATAGAACACTTGCCTAGCTTTCATGAGGCCCTGGGTTCAGTCCCCAGCACTCAGAAGAAAGAAAGATGTATGTATGTGTATTTGTATATGCTGGTGAATGTAGAGAAAAGGATTGCAAAAAAAAAAAAGAGTGACATAATAGCCTTGGAGGAAGGAACAAACGAGGCTTACCCTTTTTACTTTATATGTGTTTGAATTGTTTTGATTTCCTGCACACAGGCTCAAGGGGGAAACAGAGCAGAGTAGGAAAAAAATAACTTTCTTAATTTTGGTTTTGTTACTTTATAAAATTCTCCCATTTTCTTGGCTTCTGGAATGGTTTACAGCAGGACTGAAAGTGTACATTTTCTCCTTTAATCAGAAAGCATTCCAGCATCCACAAATACTACTGTCTTAACACAGATTGAGGCAATAATAGTATGCTTTAAATTTGATTGAAAAGATACTTCAGCCCAGGTGGTTGGTTTTCTCTCTCTCTCTCTCTGTCTGTCTCTGTCTCTCTCTGTGTGTCTCTGTCTCTCTCTCTCTGATGTCTTTTTAAAAGCAGTCACTTTTTTTTTTTTTTAACATTGCTTCACTCCAAAAGAGTCCTGAGAGCTAACCAGATATTATAATCCCCATCACTTCCCTGAGAATTTTTCTGGAGAAAGCTATAATTAGTCTTACCTTACAGATTCAGAAAGTAAACTAAACTGTTAACTGAAACCGGGTTGATGTGTTTCTGTTTTGATACCTCTCATTTCTTACATAAAATAGTCTAAAAAAAAAAAAAACCCCAATGGACAAATTCATATCTTCCTGAGAAATTGTTCTCTGAAATATAATCCTAGTAGTAACATAGCATGTTTTTCTAAAAGATATTCCTTACCTGTCTTCATTACATCACAACCTACTAATCTATTTCATGCTTCATATTATATGGCAAATAATATTCCTTGTTGCCTATTTTAAAATCTAGTGTAATGTTTATAGAATTAACTAAGAACTAACAAAATCAGGAATAATGAATAAGAATGACATGTCATATGTTCTTTGTTTGCCATAATGAACACTTTACTTACATGACAATAGAGCTTGTCATCCTGGTTTCCCAAATGTACCCTCACATAGGAGCAATAGGAAGAGGTCATGGTACAGTGTGGGAACTCTGGTAGTCTACTGCATCGGACAGTAGTCAAGAAGAGATCAGAACTCGGAGTTCTTATGTCCTAATCATCCACCTTTGCTTTTATTTGTTGTTTGTTTTTGGCATTAGCTTATAACACTTTGCTTGTTAGTTTTAGTGTCATTTTGCTGTGACTTGATATGTTGAAGTTAATGGATTGAAAAATATTTATCATTCCTTGGCTTGTAACAATTTGCCAGTCGATGGAGTGTGAGACAATAGGCTCAGACCCTTTCTCTAAAATAGAACTGAAGGTGCATAACTGAGGTGTGTTTCCTGGTTTTGCTCTATGTGAGTGGGGATGAACTGAGAGGACCGAAGGGCTGAATGATGTCAGGGTTGCAGAGACCTGGAGAGTATGATGGCACCATGAGTGATCTTGGGTTGCCCTCTCAACTTCTCTCCTCCAGTCTCAGCCATAGCGTTCTATTTGGGGCACTGAAGTTTTCTTAGATTATCTACTTTCATTTCTCTTCTGCATTGCTTCCTGCATCCACAGGCAGGAGGAAATTGTCTTTGATCAGACCCCTGCATTGCCTTTGGGCATCAGCCTCTGCCATCTTAGCATCCATCACCTGGCTTCCTGGTGACCATCAAAAGAAGCACTTCATTTCCACAGTCATGCTTTCATAAAAATTCATAAATTATTTCCAGCACAATGTTTTCTCCAAGATCTCCTAAATATCCCAGAGGATATTAATTATAGCTGCTGTTTTTTCTACTTCTGATCAGGTGTTGCCTGGTGGAGCTATGGGTAGAAACACTTAATACAAAGTCTTTTGAGAAAGCAGTTACGGATTTTGTGCTGGGGGGGAAAATGCATGGAGCACAAAGGCTTGTCTGTTTAAAACTTTGTTCCTAAAACTGTACAAGAATGAGCAACTTAACTTGCTATTTATTCTAACATGGTTAACATGAGTAATAACCTCAAAAAATGTCAGAGAAACAAGGCTCTTACTTTAAAGAGCACCACATTGGGAAGAGATTCCAAAATCAAAGCAAATCCATAACTACAAGAGTAATGTATCACATATGGTTGGAAATGCACACTTGCCAACACACTAAGAGAAAATGCTCGGTGAAAATTGATGGGTAGGAATAAATTAGACTATGCCTAACATATTGACTTGTTAAAGCAAAACGAAGACAGCTGTAAGATCTTTTTCCCTCTCCTCCAAACACAGCAATGTTAATAATTGGTAAGCTAGCAAGCCTTAAAGTAAAATGCAAATAATACAGCACTACTTACGTTTTTGCTGTTTATTGCTGCATGATTCGTTTGCCAGGGCCAGGGTTTGTCATTCTGATGTTTACAAAGCTTACACAGAGACCATAGAAATTCTATTGTAATTACTTTTTCATTCTCTTTTTTCTGCAAAGACTGTCCATGCTAAGGTGCAGGTTGATTCCAGGAACAGCAAGTTCTCAACATCCCTGTGTGTGCATGAAAGTCAGTTTCTAAGTCTTCAGTGTTATTCCTCTTTTGTTTCAGTTTCGACTTCGAAAGTGTGGAAAGTACTGTGGAGAGTTCGGTGGAGAAAGCAAAGCCCTGGAGCAGGTCCATTGAGGATCTGCACAGAGGGAGCAACTTGCCCTCCCCTGCGGGCAACAGTGTGTCCCGCTCTGGACGACACTCAGCACTGCGGTGAGTGCCTTTAGGCAAGAGCCAGCTTCAGCAGTGTGATCCCTGTAGTATGTCAGTGCATCTCGCGATATGACACTCTCATTTCTAGTCATCTAAATGAAAGTATCTGGACAAGTTCATGGGTTCTTCCCTTGGCCAGTACTCTGTAGATTTAAAGAACTTCCTGGAAATGCCACACCTTTAAGTGAGCACAGAAAGTAAGGAAGTTCTGCCAAGTGATGCAGCAGAAGAATCGGGAACAGGTAAGTTTCTGAAACTGGGTAGGTGTTGACATCTGATGTAGGTGCTGTTTCTGGCTTGGGACAGCCTTTGGAAATCTGAGCATCTAAACAGCCCCTCGTTGCTCTTTGTGCCCCTCAGGTGTGTGTTCTGTGGGATGTGTTCTTAGTTGAAGGTGCAGTATGATGAGTGATTTTTTTTTTTTTTTTAATAAGATGCCTTTAGGCAGTGTTCTTTTGTTTGGTGTGCTGCAATTGTCAACTTGGTATTTCCTTTTGAAGATTCAGTATTACATCTCTCCTTGTGAGATATTGCCAAGTTAAGGGAGGACTGGTACTGAGTACCTATGCCAGTTATGGGTATGCTAAAGTACTTCATTCACTCATACTTGTGATCTTTCACTTTTTAAAAATATTTTCAACTACTTGAGAGGGAGCCATCAGGAGCATTGCGGTTTGAGGCTAGCTCAAACAAAAAGTTTGCAAAACCTCATTGCAACCAGCAAGCTGGACGTGGTACTCTCACCTGTGGTCCCAGGTTGGTAGGAGGATTGCAGGTCCAAGGCCAGTGCCAGGTAAAAATGCAAGACCCTATCTGAAAAATGACTAAAGTAAAAAACAAAGGTCTGGGGCATGGCTCAAGTGATAGAGGGCCTGCCTAGCAAGCATGAGGCCTTGAGCTTAAACCCCAGTACTGCCTAAACAGCAACAGAACTTTTTTGGAACTTGTGTAATTTGTCAGGTACTGTACTTACAGTTAATTATAAGTGAGTAGGTAAATCAACACTAGTGCCTGTCAAGATAGAGCAAGTTGACAAAGGTTTCTATGTCCATGAGTCTCATTCAAAATTTTTTATTAGTAAGACCTTCATTCCCAAATGTTGCTTATTCTTTGTAGCTTAAAATTTTTCTCTGATTTATTTTAGACATGATCCAGTAAAGTGACTTATTTCTCTGAGGGTTTAAGACTGCCATGAGTTTTGGGTCACCGCAGGAGAGTCTATATGTCAGATGCCAGTCAGTGCATAAGGCTCAGACCTTTCACATTTGGTTGCCTCTTAATTACCTCTGTCCCTTTGACTTAGGTTTTGGCCATGGTTATGAAAAGGTTTTTGTTTTTTTAAATCTCTATCATGAAGTTTAGTTCTGTTGAAGGAGTTGATGTGTCAATATGACACCTCCAAGAAACCATTCAGATTTTCCTTGTTAACAAATGCCAGAAATGCTAAGAGGTTTAGAATGATTTGATTAAAAAATAATGAGGATTAGTGTTTGAGTTCACTTCCTGGTATTTGCAGTGGGCCAAGAGCTATTATAACCTGCTAGTCTGCATCAACTGCCATGTGGGCGGAGGAATATGTGGGGCTGATTTGGAAGTTAAAAAAAGGCTAATTGTGCCCGAAGAGTTCTATAATCTCTTTGGTAGTCCAGTGGGAATTCTCACCATTAGTTGAACTGTAATTATATGTGAGGGATTTAATTTATAAAGTGCCCTTTAATCTGGTGTTTATAATTTCTTACTTAGAAAGTATTCTATCATATATTGGCCAGCTACCACCCTGACAAGGATTAATTTTTCTGATTAATAATTCTTTATGCCTTTTAAAAAATATTAAAGACTAATTCCTTGCAAACGCATTATTTCCAGTAGAGTGGGAGAATCAGGAAAATACGGGAATTATCTCAAGTCTAAGAGAGGGATGCTACCTGGATCCTGGAAGGCAGGATACAGGGGCATCAAAGACCCTGGTAGAATTCAGTTTACCAGGTAGAATTCAGTTTAAAGAAATTTGGTATTGGAAAGACATACCAAAAATATGGCAACAGACATGATGGAAATGCCATCTGGAAAAACACAGGTACTGTGTGACATTTCTGCTTGGCAAATATGCTTGAAGATGACCAGCTAAGAAACCAATATCCCATTCTTCTGCTTTACATTTCAACAGTTTCAAGGCCAGGAGGGGAAGATAGGAATTTCATTTGACTCAACAAAGTCAACACGGCAGTACTTTCATGCCCTTCTGTCTTGAAACTTAAGATTCTTGGTTTTGTTTTTAAACAATGTGTATTAATGATACTCCAACTCTGTGGTTCATGGATTTGTGCCTGGGTTCTGGTTCTGTACTTGGCCACTGGATAGCACTTGTGACTTTTAAAAACAGCATTCAAAAAAGTACAGTCATATGGTACTCGTTGCTTTTCATATACCCAAAGATTGTTTACTTTTTTTTTTTTTTCTCTTCCTTCTCATCCTCTCCCCCTTTTTCCTCTGCTCCCTACACTCCCTTCACTATTCGGCTTTCTTTTTGTTGTCCTCCTTTTACATTTCACCATCTTATTTCTGATTATCTTTTCTATATTGTTCTGTCTTCTCCCGTTTTTTCCTCTTGCTGTAATTCTGTTCATCTCATACCATCACCAGATTGGTTTCTCTGCCTGAGTATCTTCAGTTCAAATGGCACCAGAGCTGCTTCTCTCCCCGTTGCCTCTGGAGCAGCTTCAGTTTACATACTGATGATGAGGCTTCAAACTGGAACATCTCGTAAGTCACGAGTGAGAGTGACACCCAAGTGAGCTGTAGTGCATAGTGGCAGGATCTTACAACTGCTCTCCGTGTTATAATGTGACACCTTGTGACTTAGCACTAACCACTGCCCACTGTCCTGGGATAAAGCTCACCGCCTGCCCGATTCACTCTGTTATCATATTTTGATTCCTCATTTAAGGGATTTGAAACTTTAAGGTATATCACATTTTTCTTAATAATGTAGGTTTTTTGCAAAGAAAAAGGATATGTTCTGTAGAGATGCCTTATTCTGTAAGCTTTGTGTAATTAGTAAATATCTGTATATCCAAATATAGATTTCAGTTCTCTCTTCCCAATCTCCAGATAATAACAGATCCAGCAATCTTATCCAGTATCACTTGGCATAAAGAATTAGTTAAAATTGGAAGAAGAAATAAGGTTTCAAGAAATTTAAAAACACTTTATAAATGAAGCTTGATTACAGGAAAAAGGAAAAACATTCCAAAATACAAGATTTTTAAATAAAAATTTAATACTAGGACATTCTCATCCTTGTATTGAGAGTTTATATTTTAACTACTTAGAACTGATTATTAAGCATTGATAATATGATGCAGCCCTTTGGTTGTATCAGCTGTGGGATTCTGCATGATCATACATTTGAAGCTTGGTTGGAGGGGAGATGTTGATATTGATGCAGTAGACTCCTGGTTGTGCTGTCTCTAGAGCTTGTGGGTCTTCAGGTGAGCAGGGTTTCTGCCAGCATGGCCACAGAGCTTGCTAATTACATCATGCAGTCACATGCACATTTGAGCGCATTAGGTCTATGAGGATGAAACTGTGTTATTTCAGATGCAGAAATAATTTTTTAATTTTTAAGAAGGTCAAGGTTAATGCCATTAGACTTGAATAAGAAAGGACATAGAGGATAACTAACTGCTTTGAATTTTAAGAAAGGGGGAGGAGAACTAATTTCGTATCTGGAGGAAGGGACAAATTTAAACTGTGTCTTTTGGTGATAGCCAGAGTTGGGCCTCGTGATGAGGAAAGCCTGTTCCATGTGGAGATGAAGTGAAAGGGCATGAGATGAACACAATCTTGTATGGAGGATCAGGTGTGTTTGAGAAAGAGGGAGGCATCTGTCCTCCCAGAGACAAGCTCTGTGATGTGATGGAGGTGGAGGAAGACTGCATGGAGAGAGAGGGTCATAGAAGGCAAAGCTGAAAAAGCTTTGGAGATCATTCCAGCTGACCCTTCCCACCTAGGTGAAGAGACAAAGATCACATCACTTTTACTATATTTACCACTATTAATATTTCTTCCTGAGCTGTTTTTCCTCCTTATCTACCCCCCTCCCCACACACAAGATTTCACGGCATTTCCTGAGACTATTATATTTTGGAATGGAATTTTATGAGTAGTCATCGTCTGAGTGGAATTATGTGAAAAGATGAAGAGTTTTGATGTAGATTGTTGTTTATACTTTTAAACACAGTAATCCCATACTGGTAACATTTTTTTCACAGAAGTAATTTCTAAAAGTATTTTGAAATGCAACAAAGATTAGATATATATATAATATTAATATGATTTTTTATGGGGAGAAAAGCTTTTATTAAATGTCCACTGTGTGCCAGGCACTGTGCTAACAACCTCCTGTGACACACTCTTGCAATGACACCTCTGTTATCTATAGTGGTTAAACAACTTGCTGGGTTTCAAATAAAGTGGCCTGACCCCAACTCTCCCACAAGGCTGTCCTGTCTACGCAGTCATAGGGAGATGTTTTTCCTCCATGAATATTCTGTTTTCTTACCAGTGTGTCCACATGTCCTTCTGTAGGTTGTCTGCTGCCTGAGGCCAGGAGCTGTGCTCACTAAGTCCTGGATCCACAGTACCCTTACAGGAGAGGCCTTTGCTAATCCTTCCCAGATGATATGCCCTTTACTAGTTCACATTAGGTGCCCAATGAGCTAGGGGAGACCCTGACCAATGTGCTGGAATATTTCATAGCTATTTGAAAATAAAGTCTTACAGAAATGTGAAAGGTGTTTACTAAACAAATGACAGGAGTAGAATAAAAATTCTGTATTTCTACAATTTTGGTTTCACCTACTTGTAAATAAGAAAACATTAAAAGAAAGTAGAGTAAATGAAATGGCTACTTTTGCTGAATGAGATTATGAGTAAACATCTCAAATTTTTGTTTATATGATATTCTAAATATATTTTAGAATATATTTGCATATATA